TATGTGCCTTTTAATGCTATGTATCCTTCTCCAGAGAGGTAAGGAAAATCTTTCCTAATTGGCAGAAATTGTTCAGATGAAGATTTCTTTGCATTAAGAGAATATTCCAAGTTCTAAATATTCTTACCTAAGAAAATGTGAATACCAATAAAAGACTAACAGTAAACATATGTTTGAATGAAAATCTTGAAATAGGGTTTACAGACACTGGCCACCACTGTTTGTTAAAAAGGGCCTCTAACAGCACTAAAGTCATGTTGACTGGACAAATCCAGTTTATTAGACTAATACTGTTAGTGCTGCAAAGATTTCACAATTTGACATTATTCTGAACACGTTTTACACATGCTTATAAATTGTTAAGGATTCAGAATGCTAAACAGATGCCAAAAGGGTAACATAAAGGATTAAGAACTCACTTGCTTCACAGCTTGAGGAAGGCCTCTTCTTTTCTCCCTGGGTTTCCACTTCCAAAAAAGCAGTGTGAGCAGGTGAGGCCACTTACAAGCCATACTGGTCTATCACTGAGCAGCGAGTTGCATCCAATCACACCACGCCCATCCCCCCGCCCACCTGCAACAAGGAGGGAGAGGAAATGTGGGAGCAGGAAGCTGTTGTCCCAAATCCTAGGAAGAGATCTGGTACTCTTGCCTCTGGATTTCCTCATGATTTTCCCATTGTCTCATGTCTCCACTAGTGTTTGGGGACAAAAGTAGACTTCCCTATAGCATGGCCTTCCAGCTCCAATAACCTAAGGGATTTCTATATGCAAAACACCAAGAGAACAGAACCATTTACAGCCCCAAACCCTTGATGATCAAGCTGTTAACATTCCCTATTTGAAGATTTGGGGCCGAAGAGAATAAGTGCTACCTGACTAATTAGGGTGTCCGAGCTGAAGGTCTGACTTTTGGAGAAATAAACTTACGATGAGGACCTTCTGGCATGTGAATTAACTGGGATGTACTCTGAAAAAAAGGTCAAGACTGAGTTTCAAATCAGGTTACGTTCTGCTTTACAGATAATAGACAGGTGCCTACTTAAAAACCATTACAACCCAAGCTGTACCTTCAAAACAAATATGTTAGGGCCAACACAAATCCCTGGCAGAAGGCCTCCCAATATCCCTCTTCAGGCTCAACCCATTAGGTTCAAAATATGGATTATTTTTAAATTAACAGCAGTACCTATCGCACGCTGAGTGCTTATGTAGCAGGCATTATATGAATCACCTTATACTCTCTTTCCTTCACCGTACCTAACATAAGTCTGCTATTGTTGCCATTTTATAGAAGAGGAAACTAAGGCTCGAAAATGAACTGACTGGGACAACTAGAGAGCCACAAGCGAAAGAATGAATCTGGACCCTTATCTCACACCATATACAAAAATTAACTCAAAAGGAATTGAAGACCTAAATGTAAGGGCCAAAAGTATAAAACTTAGAAGAAAACATACCTTAGATTTGGCAATGGATTCTAAGATATAATACCAAAAGCACAAGGAACAAAAGGAAAGAAAAAAACCAGATAAATTGGACTTCACCAGAATTAAAAACTTCTACACTTCAAAGGACTTTATCAAGAAAGTTAAAAGAACACACACAGAATAGGAAGAAATATTTGCCAGTGATATATCTGATATAGGACTTGTATCTCAACTATATAAGGAAGCCTTACAATTCCATAATAAATAGACCTTGAATAAAAATTTTTCCAAAGATATACAAATGGCCAAAAAGCACCTGAAATGATGCTCAACATCAACAGCCATCAGGGAACTATAAAACCACAATGAGATACCACTTCACATTCACCAGGATGGCTATAATCAATATGATGCAGCCACTCTGGAAAAGTCTGGCAATCCCTGCAAAAGGTAAACACAGAGTTACCACGTAACCCAGCAATTCTACTCCTAGGTATACATACGCCGCTCCCACCCTCAAAATAAAAACAGATGTCCACATAAAAAATTGTATATGAACATTCATAGAATTATTCTTAATAACCAAATGGTTAAAACAACCCAAAAGTCTATCTATCAAACGATGAATGGATAAATAAAACTGTGGTATATCCATACAGTGGAACATTATTTGGCCAGGAAAAGGAGTGAAGTAGATATATGCTACAACATGGATAAAAGCATCATGCTAAGTGAAAGAAGCCAGTCACAAAAGACCACATATTATATTATTCCATTCATATAAAGTATCCAAAATGGGCACGGATACAGAGACAGAAAGTAGAGTGGTTCTTGATTATGTGGGATAGGGAATTGAGTGACAGTTGAAGGGTACCGGGTTTCTTTTTGAGGTGATAAAAATGTCCTAAAATTGATTGTGGTTATGATAACACAACTCTGACTATACTAAAAATCATTCAATTGTACACTTTAAATAGATGATTGGTATGGTATAGAAATTATATCTCAACAAAGCTGCCATTGGGGGAAAAAAAGTGAACTAAGATATCGAGCTGAGGAAACAGGTTCATATCTGGTTCCTTTCAAGTACAGTGCCCAGACCCTAAACACTACACTGTACTGCCTTCTGAAATACAAATGACTGCTCTCCACTCACCTGTCCAAATCCACACTTAAACTCTTCCAACAAAGCCATGGTAGGGCAAGAGACACATCAGATAATTGCCTTCGAATAGCTTATAATTTTAATTGGTCACATAGAAGAACAAATGCTTATATAATACATAAATTATTATAAAGCCTAGTGTAATATATGCCTTTGCTCTTCTGATAATAATCTACAGTGTAGGATACTTTATATAATACAGACTATGACATACGTAATCCCAAGCGATGACTGTAAGAGAGGGTAAGATCACATCCATGGAAACAGAGAAGAGATTTCTTTCTACTGGAGCAAAAAAGTAAACATTTCCTCTAAACGCTGATTAAAATTATTTATAGCTTAACAAAATATGGAGTAAAAATCCCAACATTTAATCATCCTGGACATATTCAAAACAAAGGGGGGAGAGTATTATGGTAATGTTAAATTTCTCCGTCTTAATTAAAATAGGGACTTGATGTCCCGAATCTGAGGTTTATTTCTAGCAATAAGGCTTAGCAAAGCACGTATTCCATTGTGGAAATCCATTTCTTTACTGTTGAGGTCTGAAATAAACCTAAAAATGCACTAACTCATTAACTTGGGAAGACTGTATGCCTTGGGCCTCATTTTAAAGGGGTTCGGTTACTAAAGTCCCCAAAGAGTCTTAAGAGGGTACAGCAAGCCATCTTCTCAGGGGCTGCCCTTCCCTGACACCGGGCCACTACCTCCACCTTGTGGCCACAGCTGAACCCTGGGAGTCACAGCCTGTGTCCCAAAATCTCCTTAGAAGCTTGTGAACAAAAACAAGAGCAAAGCTGTTTAAACCGACCACCATCACTGTGAAGGCCATGACCAAGTGACGGTTTCACAATACCTATTACTGTGAGAATTTCACTTGGTTAATTCTCGATTACCAAGCACCAATAACAAGTACTTCATGTGTCAGGGACTTAAACAAGAATCTTCAAAGCTTTAACTTGAACAGAACGGGCTACTGCCCATTCTGAGAATTAAACAGGTGAACTTTGGAACAAAATGTTTCTAAACTGTGAGGGAGGAGTGTTCCCAATTTAGATACTGCATATGAATTCTGAAGATAAACAGTAAGGACAGATTACTCTGGGTATGTATAAAATAGCCAATCCTTGGAAATAAATTTTTTTTTTTTTTTACTTTTACATGGAAGAGATGGAAAAATTTTTTTAGGGTCATTACATAGTCTTGGAAAACCCAGCAACATTCCTCCCTTTGACATGTAGGTAAGACATAAGAATAACATAAAAAAAAAAGTCAGCTAGATTCATTTAAAACAAACCCTAACTTCTTTTCTTCTCAAACCTCACATTCCCATCGCTATTTCATTCTCAGGTACAATGATGGTGCTAGAGCAGTTTTGAGGGTGATTTAAGAACCAGTCAGCAGATACACAAAAAGATCCTAAAGTTGGGAAAAATCGGACAACTCTGCATGAAAGGCTTAGCCAAATCATCAAAACGGCAATCAAGATCCAAATTACCAAGAGCTGGAAAGATGTTAATCGGTACACTAAATTTTACATGGAAACAGCGGCACACTATGGTCAGCCTTTTATAATTTAGCTTAGGGAAAACAAAATTTCAGGACACTTGAGTAGGGGAAAAGCACTAGGGAGGATTTATGCCAGGGATTGACAAGCACTTCTGACATATCAACCTGGATGGACTAATAATGGCAGCTCACAGAGTTCTGTGTGCTAGAGTATAAGGACCAATCTGGACTCCCAAGGTAAGGACTGTGATCAAATTCCAAAGTCTGCCAAGGGCAAAGGGATTGTGAACTGTTACTTTCTACCTTCTGTAGAACTTACCATATCCGGTTTTAGTTTGTCCCTCTCTGTTCACAAATGGAAAACTGGGCCCAAAGAAGTTAAGTTAATTCAAGGTCATACAACTAGTTAGTGGCTGAACTGGGTGTGCGACCAAGTCTCTGACTCCATAACTGTATTAATAATTCTAGTTGGGAAAAGAAAGCATTCACATAAGGTCACTAATAATTCAAAAAAGAAAAATTCTATTGTTTGTTCTGAAGAACACTTGGAAGAGAAGTTTTAGTTCCACAGTAACACTGTCTCAGTAACTTTCACAGAAACTACCCTGTGGTTAAAAACACGTTCTTCCCCCTTTGCAAAAGGAACCTAACATTTCCTGCCTATAAATCAGTACAACACATCTCCTGAAAGTTTATTAATTGCGGTTAAAAAAAGAGAAAGTGTGTTAGAAAGTGAGCAGGTGCTTTGCAGATCCGTCAATGCTTACTTCAGAAATGAAGTCTCCACTGTGGGAAGAAAAAGCTGAAAAATATTTTTCACTTACATTCCTCAGGGCATCTTAAATCTCGAAAGAACAGTTGTATGAGGAAAAGTATAGAGAGAGCTACAGATTCTTACCTGCTCTAACGTAAGCTGCTTAGAAATGGTATCATTCTCCAGTTTTTTAATTTTCTTCATTAGTTTGTTGACCTGGAATTCCTGCTCCTGCTCGAGATGCTGCTCCAATTCGGCTTTCTCATGCTGCAACTAGAAAATGAAAAAACAAGACACTCAAAAGCCACTGAAACAATGGCACCAAAAGCTGGTTACACTGAGTTAAGAGACATCATCACAAAAGTTACATTACTCAGTTCTCATATATTCAAATGTATACCTAGTAACCTGTTCCTAAGTGGTTCCCTAATAACCCAAAATTATAGTGCAAATACAGGCACTTGATCTTAGCCAAAAGGTTGAGAAATGATAGGCCAAATATATGAGAGTACGAAACCACGCAAACGCAGATTTCAATTTTAAAAAACTTAAGTGGTTGTCTCTGTAGACAGGAATCGGAGGGCTAGGGAACGAGGTAAGAAAGGAAACTTAATTTCAACACACACTCACTCTCTCTCTCTCTCTCTTTGGTACTTTTTAAAATTTTATACCATAGACATAAACATTAATAAATTTTTTTAAAATTTATGGTTTTTATTAAATACAGTTTACTCAGAATTATATAATGCACGTAGAGATGGAAGAGATGCTACAATCACAAAACATACTTAGTATATTATTCTGAATGCTATTTTCCAATGTACTATTAAGCATATATTGGCAAAAATCCGGACAATTCATTATCTTTCTATAATGAGATCATACATCACAACTTCTATATCTTTCCTAAAAATCTAGACAGAAAGCTTCTTATTTATGGAATTTAAAGATAAGATTATGGTGCCACTGCAAGAGAAAATTAAAAAAAAATTTACTCCAACCTTCAAAACCAAAAGGGAATAAAATAAATCCAGTAGACACACAGGTAGGGTTTTCATTAATAACTATGCATTGTTTCCAACATCTCAACTGCAGATCCAGAGTAGAGACTGGAAGAAACAATATCCACAGGGCCTAATATTTTCAGAACCAAGGAGAGATTACATAAAAGCTATTAAAAAACAACAAAGGACCCCATTTTATTTGATTTAAATTGACACTGATTCCTAGTTTTACCTTCAAAACCATATCTTCAGGCAGACAATGTTTATTAGGTTCTTCACATGCATTAGGCAGGCATGATCACCCCCATTTCATGTGTAACAAAACAGGTTACCAGATCAAGTCTATTCAGCTGGAAAGCAGCAGAGCTTGGGATCCACAACCTGCTCTGAAACCCGATCTGTATTCTCCCACCGGATCCTAGGCAAACCTAAGAGGAGTCAACTTCAGACTCCTCCACCCACTACTGCCTAGTGCAACCCTTGGAGTCTGGAAAGTCAAATGATTAAACACAGAAAATGAGCCACGTAGGCTCACCCAAGGGATGCTATGTTTCTCTGTAAACTCTGTGCATGGTGCAATGGACAACAGAGAAAGCTCATCAGGGCCTGATCAATCTCAAAATGGCTCCCTGTATTTGTATTTGACACGATTTCTTTGTATTTGACATGATTTCTCCTGCTCTGAGAACATATATTTGGTCTTTTTTAAAAAGTTTAAAATCTGAGAATGTCTTCTGACACTAGAAATGTTGACTAAACAGTTGCTGATTTTTTCTTCCAACTGTCTTTGATGTGCAACTCCAAAAAAAGCTGGTCAACCTTGCAGGGACACAGAAAAAAGCAGATGTGAAGAAGTGCTTACAGTGACAAGTCTATTTTTAGCTAGCTCTTTAAAACTCAGGTTCTGCAAGATCAAGCAGTAATTAAAAGAACTAAGAAGAATGGACAGAGAACAAGAAGAGTTCTTGACATGTCATACATGAAAGACCCAAAATGACTTATGAGGAAAAACAGCAAAACGTGTACATCTTCATCTACTAGTTTTAGTCTATAAACATTTGCTATGTCTTCTATTTGTGGATACTGTGCTAATGGTAGGTGAACGGTATACTTAAGGTATCATCTCTGCCCTAATAACAGTACTAAGCTTAAATGATATCTGTTGGTTTTAGAAAAATGAACTTTAGTCTTACAACCTTTAAACTGTTTGCATAAATTTTCTTCATAGTAGCTGTACTTTCTTCCAATGTTTTTAATTGCTGCCATTTTTATTTGAAAAACTCCCCTCTCCTACTTTTTAGCATTATGCTTCTGCCCTGAGGTAAATTAAAAACAATAAAGGATGCAATCTGACATTGAAAAACCTCTTCCCTACCAAGCAGCATTTGTCACAGAACGTTAATCTGAGAGAAGGGAAGGTCCTCGTTGGCTTACAGGAAAATATTCATATTTAGACAGATGGTCTAATACTGTCAATATCTAATTAATAAAATCTATAAAAGCTCTCTATTTGAAGGGTTTTTTTCCTTCTCAAGAGCTACACCCCAAGGAAAATGTGACAGTAAAGTTGTCATTACCAGAACTCAAGTAAGGTCCCTGAGTTATACTAACTCATTTGGAAAAAATATCAAGTCATCCTGAGATCTAACTCTGCTCGCCAAAGATTCACAGTTTTCATCATCCCCAAAAGACAGAGTTGAATCTGCCACCTCCCAAGTGACATGCAATTTAGATGCAGGGCACTAGAAACAGAAAATATGCTTCTTCCCTGGAACAAAGAATCCAGCAATAAAAAGAGAAACACAGAGAGAAACAGAGAAACTGCTCCCCCGCCCAAAAATATCATGAGACGAGAGTTAAGATGAACAAGAAGAAGGGGAGAGAACAGAGGAAGGGATTTTGAGGAACTAATAACCACAGTTTGCCTGAGAAAAATTCAGAAATTGTTTGTGCTTTAAATAATATGCCATGTAAATTCAAGCTATTTAGCCCTAACAGGGCTTAAACCAATACCCTGAATCCATCCGACTATTTTAAAGCTGTAGCTCATGACACCACAAACAAAATCCTAAAAAGAAGCCTGGTTTAGGATGACTCAAAGCTATCAGAAATAAACTCGAGTTTCACCTCTCAGTGGCATCTTCAATACGGGCATAAAATTCAAGGCATACTTTTAAATTTCTAATCAAAAGTATTAATGCTTTATGAAGAATTTTAAATCTTCTAAGAAGGTCAGAGATCCTGAACTAGAACAAAAATAATTCATACTAAAGTAAATAGTCCAGCACATTCTATTAATGTGTTTGAAATAAAACTCATGTTTGCCTTAAATATGTCTAAAGCAAAATGCTTACTTAGATAGATTAAAAGTTTTTTGAAAATCAGAATTTTCTGTAAATACACTTTTTATAAAGTGACTCTCAAAGATCATGGAATAGTCTTAAAACTCTTATTTGTGCAGTATATTATTAACATTAACCAAAAAAAAAAAAACCAAACCTGTGGAACTGAATTCACATTATATAACGGATGATTCACTGCAGTACTGTACATTGTCATTGGAATTAGGATTACATAAAGGATTGCTCCTTAGGATTCAGCATGAAAAATATATTAACATAACTGAAAAAGCCATAAGCAAAGATACAACTATAAACCAGTAAAATTCTAAATACTAAAACTTGAGCATTTTCTTATTGTTATCCACTGATTATGTGTGGAGTCCCAAAGCAAACTTCCAGCCCATTAAAAAATACAAGTATAGCATTAATTTGATCTAAAACAGATTATACTTAAACATCATTCAATAATCATTGTCTTAACAATTTACAAATGCTTTCTGGAGCTGTTTCAGTAACACAGTCCTTTTATATAAGAGCTTCAAGAACTCTCCACTATATGATTTTTATTTCAGGCAAAATTCTCTCTAGCAGCAGAAGCATTAAAAAATCACTCACCTGAGAGCACCACCACAGGTGCACACGCAGGCTGGCTGGTTAGCCAGGCCAGCATGCCCCCCGTCTGCCAGATGCCAGGCTGGGTGAAGTATGTTTGCAAGTCTAGGCTTGTTGTCCATCCAAGTCCACGCCAAGCGAGGCAAACCTTCCGACCACCAGCCTCAGGACTCAGCTTTCTCAATGCAATTTGAAAATAAACTCAAGATGCCCCACTTCTCTTTTAACACTAACATTTCTCTCTGTGTAATAACCATAGTCCTGCAAGCAACATCCTTGTTTTACTGACACCTACCAAAGCCTAGAGCTATCTGCACTGAACAAAACAAAGGCCACCATAGGACATAGCTACATTAAGATACTGGATTATAAACAACAATTATCATGTTATTAACATGAGCTTTGAAAAACAGTTCAAAACTATCTCTCAGAACATTGAGTCTCTCTCAAAAACCAACTTTTCAACTGTTCCACTGAGCAGAAAGTCAGCCTCCCACTTCAAACTCAATACATCTCCACTAAACGCCTTGCAGGCCCACATTCATTCCCGCTCCCTCCCACTTCTGTTACTGGTACCATTATGCTCAGTCAACACCTCACAGCTCATCAGTTACCAAACGGCATGAAGTCAGCCTCTATAACAGCTGCCACACACAACTCCTTCTTTCTGTGATCATGGCCTCAGTCTAGCTCAGGTCTTTCATTCCTCTCCACTGGGCTACCGTATAAGTCTCCTGACGGATCTCCCTGGATCTAGTGTAGGTCATCCTGGCAGACAACCCTATTACTTCAGCACACAGCTCATAACCTTTCAGTGGCTCCCTATGACTTGCAGACTAAGTCTCATTGGCATGACTCAAGTCCCTCCACGACCTAGTCCCTATGAAAGCTTCCCATGCTTTCCTCCTATTTCCACACTCAGCCCAAGAGACAGTGTAAGGTTTATAAATGTAAATGCCTTCAGGGTCCAAGCATCCAGAAAACAAAGAATGGATGAGCCTAAGCACTAGGAGTGGTGGCAACTGTGGTTAAAGGCAAAACTTATAAGTTGTTTTAAAATGAAACTCACCATGCTGGCCAAGCACTTCTGGATTCCACTCTGGTCCAGGGGCTTACAGACTGCAAGCCCTGCTGGTCACACTGACCCACCGTAACACACGCTGCTGCACATTTTCTGCCCCCTGCTTACACTGTGCCCTCTGCTTAGAGTCCCTGAGTCCCTCCCTCCAAATTACTGAAACTGGAGGATGGCTCAAAAGACATCTTCCACAGTGCTTCAGCATAAGGTATAGGAACCCTCCTTTAAGCTGTGACA